TAGTGTTGGGCCTTTCTTTCCTCATTCCCCTCTTTGCCACACAAGCGCTAAAGAGTGTGTAAAGGCAAGATGAACGTGCAGTCGATCTCTTGGCTCCACGGGACAATGCAATGCGAGGTTAAATCCCAGGTTGCACGGTCCCAGCCTAGTTCCATCACGCCAGATCCTGGCTTCGTGGTGCGTTGTTATTCGCGCGAAGGGAAGTGAGTGGCGTCTGGCTCACAGCAAATCACCCCAAGTCACATGGGAAGCCCAGTCACAATTCCAATATTGTTTCAGGGTTGTAGGGTTTAGAGGTTACATACGGAAACTAGAGAAATCCTTCCAAGATTAGTGTTTATCCATAACCAGGCTCCCATATCGAGAACCTCCACTTCAATGTTTACGCCGTCAATCTCGCGTCGATCGACGGGTTCGTCCGTACCTTGCAGCGAGGTACCCTGCAGACTCTGTCCGTGCAGATTTCAGGCTTTCAGGCTTTTCTCGTGAGAGTACAACATAGACCAAGGACTGTTAATTTCTTTTAATTTATTTTACACTCTTTTTCCAACTTTTTTTTCGAGTTGCACTATCATCATATATGCGGGGCTTTTTGGTTCCTTTTTCTGCCCTTCGATGTTTCACCAGGGGCTGCCATGCTTTCCCCATGCTGTACCTCACACATCACCAGAGGCAATATATGCCCGAAGCCGCCTGGGCAGACGTTGATGCCAGATAAGGCCGCCAGACTGACGATCGGAGACACACATACAATGGGTACAAGGCCTTTGAGAGTGTGTGGTACAGCATAATTACGGAGTACGATTGTACAGCGTGAGACTCGGACACGAGGAGAATTTGACCAAAGGCCGATGACTTACAGGGATGTTCCCTGCAGCCTAGTGATGTGTTGTACAGGATGGGGCAAATTAAGACCGCGAATCGACCGAGATAGCCTCCGTATAGCCCCGTGTACTGCTGCTACTATAGGTCCACGGTGACCAAGAGGTACTTGCCCAAGTAGGTATAGGCGTGGAGATTATATATACTAAGGTACGGAGTATAGGTACTAAGTGATCCACCAAGTTGATAGTCGCACGGAAAACCCCGGAGGGACGATCAGTAAAAGAATTGACACATGAAATATATTCTATTTGATTTCTACGGAGTACGGAGTAAAAGATTGACAATTCGATTCCAAATACTTGCTATTATTGCTATATCACTACTCCGTATATTGCTATGATTGCTACTCCCAAGTATACCTATCATATAAGAACAGGTCTCCTTACATTTTCGGCTCAACGGTTCCATACGATGCATCACACCCGAATTGCGGAGTTGCCGTTTCAATAGTCGGATAGTGGATCTCATTTGAGCTGAGTTACTCGGATTAATTTGTTTTCTTCATTTTTATTGGGGAGAACTAAATACAAGAAAAAGTACGGAGTACTAAAAAAAAAGCAAAACAATGAAGAATAATGAAGAATAATATACGAAAAAGCCACAACCGAGTCCTGGACCACTTCATTTCAATATTTGCTTTATCATCCAGCCCTCAAATCCGCACGAAAGGCTATTTCCTTTTGTAGTAATGAAATGGTGTGTCGATTCAGGCGGATCCCTCCCCCCCCCTAAACTACTGTACGCTGTATGTGCAGCGGGTATCGGGCCGTCGATAGCGAGCTGCGGTGCAGGGATCTGTCAGTAGTCCCCTCCCTCTTTCTCTCTTTTTATAATTTTCCCGGAGCTCCCTGGGCCTAGTGTGCTAGGCTGATTAGTACCTGCTTTGTCTGCCCCAACGTTCTGCAAGAAAACAGGATCTTACCCCGTTCGCAGAAAGATTATTGCATAACATGAGACTAGAGAATCTGCCAAGGAGTTAACCTCAAAAATATATTAATAAAATAATAAAATAATGCCATTGAAGATTATCCAAATCGGTCTGGACTTAGGCCCGTATTTTCCCGGCCCCATGTTCACCGACCTCTCAAGGGTCTGTGTGGCGAGAGTCACCGCACTTGCAGAAAGAATGCAAATACCTGAGAAATAATTTGATGGAAATCGTATTCCGATCATGATCTCCCCAAAATCGCATAAATTAATCATTGAATCTAGGTCCATGTATGGTGGTCAATGNAAAAAAAAAAAAAAAAAAAAAAAAAAATAGTAGCCGGCGAATCCCTAGCTGTCACTTTTGTTTTTTTTTGTAAGGGAATGCGTGGGAATTGACATCTGTCAACTTAGAACCGAGATCTTCGGGTTGGAAATCAAGTCCGAAAATAGTCTAGTTAGTGGAGAATTCATTGGTAGTATGTTCGAGGTAACATTATAGAGTAATTAAAAAAAAAAAAGAGAGAGAGAAAACAAAACGCAAGGGGACTCTGGCCCTGTCCTTTTCACCTGGGCTTATGGTCACTTTGCCAGGAAGAAATTAGCGGTGTACTGGGGTCGAGTTGGCTTGATGTTCAGCGTCTCTTTTGCTCTTCCCCCCCTTACTGGGATCTGGATCTGGGCTTTTGTTTTTTTGTTGGGCACTAGAAAAATATGGGGGGAAAAAATAGAAATCAATAAACCAAAACAAATAAATATTCAGGTTATTTGACATTATGATTCTTACGTGGAGAATTATTATCCCGGCTATTTCCACTACTAGGATCGGTGTTATGTATATGGAGTACGGAGTACGGAGTACATTGTAAATTGTAGACCTATACGGAGTAAACCATTCTAGGCTATATTATGATTATGCAACATGATCTACACTCATAACTACGTTGTATACGGAGCAGAAGAAATGATCAAAAGAAAAAAAGGAAAAATAATTTCGAGGAGTTTCTGGATGCATCATCACGGGGTCTCTCAGTTGAGATTACGATGCTACGTGTGAATATCTCATTTCAATTTGGGCTAAAATTGGGTGGACAGATTCTGGACTAGAACTTCTTTCTTTTTTCTCCCTTTTTTTTCCCTTCGATTTCTTTTATTTTTATTTTTATTGCTTTTTCCCTCATACTCTCTCATTTCTCTTCAACTGACTCTTTTGGTAACCGCCTAGCCTCTGACTGGTCTTTCTTCTTGGCATTGGAAAGGAGAGAACAGACCCTTGATCGACTTCAAGCCACCCGTATTTCGTGGTTCCTTCTGAGCCACTGATTTTCCCCTCTGCATCCCTGGGTGTGACGTGCTTCTTTCCTCTTTCGCTCTCCACTGTTACTCACGGCCCGTCTTAACGCCTAGATCGTCCCGAACCATAAAAAAGAAAAGAAAAGCCAACAAAGGCCTTGGTATTACATATGTGCTTGGCTTAGCAAGTAATTGTAGATAGCATTGCAATGGTCCACTGGGGTTGATTTTAGCCCTGCATTTTGAATGGAGAGGTTGAGGATCCAGGGCGATCGACCGGCGACCACCTCTAATAGTAAGATATCCGAGAGGGGATAAGGCTCGGCCGATGTCCGGTGAATGGTTTGGTGAATGATTTTGGCGCTGGGATTGATTTTAGCCGTTTCTTTAAGACGGACCTTGCAGGTGTTAGCTTGTACTATCTGTACCCCAAATAGAGGGGAAATGGTGCAAGCGCTGACTCCAGAAGCGGGAGAGTGCAATCCGCAATCGACGGTGCAGCCGCCGCGCATTGCCGGGCCTTTTTTTTATTTTTATTTTTTACTTTCTCTGCAGCCGCTGACAGATGTCTTGCACGATGAAAGAGATATCCACGGGATAAGATTTCAGTTTTCCTGCACCATACTCCGTACATAGAGTATAATGTACTACCTAGTACTAGTACTAGTACCTGTGTACTAGTTGTTCTTAGGGGTAATTTAGTATCTTAACCATGGTTTCAACCATTCACGTCAGTTTCAACCGTGGATAGATTTTCCCCGTTCTTCTCCCCGGTTGACCGTCCATGGTTCACCTGAGTGGGACCCGCGCGCGTGGAGACGAACCGTCTTAGGTGCTATTTCTGTGCCTATGTTGTAGGTGTTGCATTTTATGAAACATTCTAGGGCTACCTGGTAAGTAGGATATATGTACCATATAGTACTTGAATACAAGTGTGTATTGTTTGAATCTTGTCGTCTTCTCCAGCCAGAAATAGTATCCAGAGTCCAGAGTAACCCCCTTTTAGGAAAAGGAATAAATTAATTGAATCTGATCGGTGACTCCACTAAGGGAATCAACTCCCAGATCCAGCGGGCCTATCCCGGCCGATCAGCGAGTTGCGTTTCCTGTCTGTCACACAGACCAGGATCCTCAGCTGGGAATCCTTTCTCTTTGACTTGTCCCTGCAGTTTCTAGGTAAACTAATTGAGAAATGTTAGTTAATACTGAGTAAATAATAGGGGAATGATTTACCACTATAGGGAGTATGAAGTACCTTGACGCTTAACTCTTGCTGATCTGAATGGTCCTTACTTGGTGGCGTAGAATAATAATTATAATATTTTCCCCCCTAAAACCAAAAAAAGAAAGAAGAAAATAAGATAATCGAGAAAAAAAAATAAAAAGAGGGGAAAAAAGAAAAAAAAGAAAAGAAAAAGGGAAAAAAAGAGAAAAAGAAAAACAGCAGATATCGAGTGTAGAGAAGGATGATCTGAACGCACGGTTCTGGTAGTCACCTCTCTCTCTCTCACTCTCTCTCTCCACCGGGTCCACTGTGATTGATTCGATGGGCTCTCTCTTTTCCATTTTTCTCTCTTCTTCTCTCCCTCAAAAGACGGGGCAAGCCGGGATTTCTGCAGACAATTCTTCTCTTTCTTCTCTAAAAGAACCTTAGTCAGCTTCTTCGTATCCTCCACTGATCGACTTTCCCGCTGCGGCTCAGCGTCATTTCGCTTCACCTCTTTTCCCCTCTCTTAACCGCTTGTTAAGTTCCACTGTACGGAGTACGATTTCCTTGTTTTATTTTAAGCTCGCGATTCCCTTTTATTTTGGTGTTTTACTTTTTATATTTTGTTTTGGCCTTTTCTTTTTTTTCCTTTTTCAAACGCCATCTATCCAGCCTGCAGTGCATAGGGATGCGTTTGCTGCACCACCCCAGCCTCCACCTTTCTGTACGTCTAACTTCTTCTCTTCTCAACCTCCCCCCCCCCATCCCATCCCTCGACTGCCTGAGACTCTGAACTTTCTTCTCCCACCCCCCCTACCTTCATTCGGCTTGGGCCTTATTTTATCATTCAATGCGCTCTCCAATTTGAGAGTTTCTTCTACAGATGACATGATTCCTGCATGACCTTGAAACGACCCCAAAACTTACGCCTATTTTTATTTTTGTTTAGTTCCACACTGAAGCTTCCACCGAACTTTGATGTGTTCGATTGACGATTGTTAATGATTCTGATGACCATTGTGCTTCTCTGAATTCGTCTGCTTTCTCAAGAAAAAAAAAGTCTTTATTGCGCTTCTGTCTAGGCCTGCCGAGTCTTTACAAAAGGTTTACGACTTACTACGACGCTTCACTACGATATTGCACGCCCCTGCATTGCCTGCATCTTTGCATCACTTTGCCATACACTTCTTTTTCTTCAAACGTTTGATCCTGAAAGCCCCGTTGAATACTTCGTTTGCAACTCTTTCTCTTTCTTTTTTCTTCCGTGCAACCTTTGCAAGGACCTGTGGTTTTCCAAGGATTCTGCAGCCTATATTGATAGCACGCCGGACGACATTTACGTCCGCTGCTCGCTTCATCTTTCTATTCTAAACCGTTTATCCGTGCAACCGAAAAGCTGGAGCTGCCATCGATCTCGCAGGTCCATACCCGCGGTCCTGCTGACATCCCCTGGTACAACCATCACGCGGCCGAACGACCGTTATTGCCCGGCGACAAACTCCCCGCCCTCAGCCTACCGACAGCCACCCAGGGCCTCTCCCGGACCGCCTACCACGATCCATCCGGGACCAATTCCACCAACTCCAGCGCTCGGACAAGTCTGTCTGGTGCCTCTGTGCCTGTCAACGAACTCAGGAGTCCCCCGTCCTCTACGGACCTGTCTGGGACCCAGGGCCGGCTCTCGTTGGATTCTTCCGCCCCAACTGAATACAGTATTCCGCCCTCGGTCAACGAAGGCTACTATCCTAGCCCGACTTCTCTCGGCAGCATGAACCAAACCCAGCCGTATATGGATGTCCACCCACACATGTCATCTGCTCAATCGTACGCTCCTCAAGGCGCTACCGCAGGCGCAATGTCCCACTATCAATACCACGGGCAACCCCCTGTGATGCAGCCCGCGTCTTCTTACGCCCCGGCTGGTTACCCTCAATATGGATACGCCCCTGGCGTTACTTCACCCCCAACGGGACACCCACCAAGCTCAATGGGTGGCCAGATGCCGGCCCAGTTGCTGCCGTTGCCTGGTAAGCTCCAAAGCCAGAATGTAATCGATGATTATTCTGATCGTTATCAAGTGAGCAACCACGCCGTGGCCCCTCCGAGTGGGTATGGGAACAACACCGGTGCTCCGTTACAAGGGTTCGTCTTTGATGGTACTGGTCAGGTTGCTCCTCCGGGAGCAAAGCCCCGAGTGACAGCCACATTATGGGAAGATGAGGGGAGTCTATGCTACCAGGTGGAAGCTAAGGGAGTATGTGTAGCTCGCCGAGAGGGTACGTGAATTTTGTGGCAAAAGGTCAATTGGTGATTTTTTTGACTGACTCGATTGTTTCTCAGACAACCACATGATCAATGGTACAAAGCTGCTAAATGTAGCTGGTATGACCCGTGGTCGACGTGATGGAATTCTCAAAAGTGAAAAGCTCCGTCATGTTGTGAAAATTGGACCGATGCATTTGAAAGGTGTCTGGTGCGTATTTCGATTCCGTACAGCATGCGCAGCATCCGCTAATCTTGCTTTTTAGGATCCCATTTGAGCGTGCTCTCGAATTTGCCAACAAGGAGAAGATCACTGATCTCTTGTACCCGCTCTTTGTGCATAATATCGGTGGTCTTCTATACCACCCGGCCAACCAGACACGAACAAACTTAGTAGTGAAAGATTCCCAACAGCGACGTATGGAAGGCCTTCCCCCTGGTCCCCAACGCACGCCGTCTGGCTCTCAGCAACCCCCGATTCATCATCACCACCCCTCCCTTCAGACGCCCATGTCCTCCCACATGTCCCAAGGCCCGATGAGTGGCCAGCCTGGTTCCCGACCAGGCCTTGAGCGGGCCAACACCTTCCCCACACCGCCAGCCAGCGCATCCAGCCTGATGGGTGTCACCAATCAAGGCAGTTCATACGAATGGGGTGGACAAGTGCCACACACACAGCCCTTGTCCATCGACACCACACTGAGCAACCAGCGCTCAATGCCAACCACCCCCGCAACAACTCCACCGGGAAACAACATGCACGGCTTGCCAGCCTACCCAAGCCAAGGCTACGACAGCTCCAAGCCCTACTATTCCGCGGCACCACAAACACACGCCCAATACGCGCCGCACACCCCCTTGACTAATTCAGGGATGTCCAGCTATGGCCAACCTTTGCCCGGCGGATACATGAAAAGCGAGATGGCGCCACCAAACCCACGCCCTGGTGCCTCAGAGCCCGAAACCTCCGAGCGAGACCCAAACCGGTACAGCCAGAGCAATGGGCCTGGCGAGACCGTCCCCGAGCACGAGCAGGAGTATATGCCAGACCATAACGCCGGCTACAACTCTAACCGCGGCTCCTACACCTACACCACAAACCCCTCCGTCAGCTCCCTGACCGGAGAGCACTCCCAGCTCACCCCGGAGATGACCAGCTCCCCGAGCCAGCAAAACGGCTCCGGTCGCATGACTCCACGCACGGGCGCAGGCCCCCCTCACTGGGCTTCGGGGTATAACACCCCTCCTCGTCCCGCCGCCACTACCCTGTACAACGCTGTCAGCGATACGCGCGGTACCCCGGCAAACGGTGCTTCGGACCCTTACTCTATGGCCTCGTCCACAGCCCCTGTCTACGCGACTGGAAATGGCTCGTTGAGTGCGGGTAGCAAGCGCATGCGCGAGGATGACGATATCCGCCCCGAGAGTACCGCTGAATACGAGACGTCGAAGCGTCGCAAGACCATCACTGATACCACGCTCGGTGGTCCGGTCGGTGGCCCGCCTATCCTTCAGCCGATGAAGCCCAGCGCGGTCATGGCTCGTCATCGGTGAGTTTGCGTGTGATTCAATTGTGGCTTCTAGCTAGTTTGTGGTTATGGTTCCTGCTCGGGTTCCTGTTTTGGTTCTCTTCAGGTCCTGTTTGCTTTTCGCTGGATTTTCTTTTTTTTCTGTTGGTTCTATTTCTCGGTCGGAGTTTGTTTTTCATGATAGACTGCGCATGCACCACCCGCATGGCGCGCTGCGGTCTTGTCTGTGTCTCGCCACGAACATTGTGAGACAGACAGACCCGGCGGTGTCGAAACGAAACGAAGCTCATTTGTCTCTCTGCGTTTGTTTATGTTTTCAAGTTGAAGAAATCTTGAATATTTTTGAGAATATCTAACTTGTGTGGGGAGAGGGGAAGAACTAGGCGCAAGATCTGTTCACGGTCCAACATTAGAGAAACATTTCCTATCACTTGTTGAAGACCTGGATGGTGATCGCAAACCTCGATGACTACGATGTGACGAATCTCTTATGAACGAATTTTCTTTGTGTGATGACTTGACCACGAGCCATCTTCATTAACGAGTTGTTTTTTTTTTTCTCTCTCTTTCTTTTTATCATTGATGCTTTATTTATTGCGTGTTTTGGGTTTTGAAAAGGATATTCTTTGGCATGGCCTTGGCTTTGGTTTTACTCCCCTCTCTACTTCTTTGCGCTGCTATTGCTACTGCCACTCTACTAGAGAGATGATTATCATGGTAATGAACGGTTATGAACTCTGGGTCTGCATGCCTTTAGCGACATACAACGTTGGTTTTATCCGGTCTAAATGGATTGTTCTTTTTCCCACTCTTGGTGATTTTTATAGTTTGTAGATGTGGATGTAGGTTGTAGATTATTGACCCTTGTTTTGTCCTATACACGTTCTTACAACTTGATGCTGTAGGTCGTCGGGGACATGGATGCAGTTATCGGATGCTTGGCTTGTCTTCATGGCAGCTTTGTATATTTCGTATCAGACATTTGTTCTTTTCAACATGCTAGCTTAGTACTTGTATTAGTCTCTTCAAGGAAGACGTCAAATAGAGTCTGTAAGTTGTAAAAAGCTTCATTGTACCTCCACTTTAGTCACATACTTCGCACCACGTGACCCAATCTACCCTATCTAACCCAAAACAGCAAAATCAAAACACATTTGAACCATGGTTCATTCGACTTCACTCCACGGCGACTTCTCGCCAAATTTCAACTCAAACACCACCAAATCCTACAACACGTCATCCCGACCAACATGACTACTTGAATAGCGAATGGAAACCCCTACTACAAACCCGCAAGACCCAACAATGACTGGCGAACGACCAAAACGACCCGTAAAACCACAACCCCCAGAGCCACGAAACCACCTCCAATTTGATCCCTGGCAGTCAGCTTCAACAGGCCACCAGCGTGCAGCCGAAGCCGGCGGTTTCCTCGGCTCGACATCATGGCGGGATGCTCGCTCGGCGAAATTGACCAGGCAGTATCAAAGTGGGGATTGTCTTCCAGGGCGAGGAAAGGCACTAGGACCGGGAGCGGGGAACAAAGCAACACAAGAGTCGACACTCGTACCCGGTGCATTCAATGGGAAATGTGCATCGCAGTCGCCGCCTAAAATACCTGCTTCTGGTGAATGGGCTATGGTAGCTGGGGATGTGGCTAAGCGGAATGAACTCGGTGTTCGGGATATTCGGTCGTTTATGGGTGTTAGCAAGAGGAAGGTGGTTGATGAGCTTGAGACGGATATGAAGACGGAGACGAAGAAGATCAGGACTGTTGTTGGGGCGGACCGGAGTCTGAGTCCTGCTCAAGATGCAAAGGAAACGGAAAAAGAAACGGAAAAGTCTCAAATACAAGACAACCCCCAACCTGACTCCCGCTCTGGCGCCAGCCTTGACCTGAAATCCACTTCGAATATCTTCGCCGGCGTTACGATCTTCATCAATGGCTCTACGCTCCCCCAGATCTCCGAGTATAAACTCAAACACCTACTCGCGTCGAACGGGGCTAGGACTTCTATCTACATGGCCCGGAAGACGGTGACGCATGTTCTCGTCGGACGACCTAATACCGGGGCTGTGAGTGGAAGTGGAACAGCTGTGTCTGGTGCAGGTGGAGGTCTTGCTGCCGGTAAGCTCCAGCAGGAAATTGCCCGTGGGGGGTGGAAAGGTGTGAAGGTTGTTAGTGTGGACTGGTATGTACTATCAAACTGTTGAATGACCGGCGAGTGACCCTTTCTGACGTTGAATTTGTTATCGCTAGGGCTCTTGAGAGTATCAAAGCTGGACGTCGTCTTGCCGAGTCCCGGTTCCCTGGTATGCATGTTGCGGCCAAGGGACAGCGGAGTGTTGCTGGGATGTTTGGTGTGCAGGGAGTGAAGAAGTAATCTTCTTTTACATCGATATGGTTGACATTTAGCGACTTTGTCCTTTTTTTTTGCATTGCATTGCATATGGCATTTTGCCATGGATGGCGTTCTGGATAGAGTGGTTTTCCGTCAATCTTGTGGGTATGGATGATGAATTTTCCAACTACGTGCACTTATGATACCCAATGATCTATGATCACATTGAATCTAATTTGATCGTCATGACTACGAAACATCTGCTTCGGAACTTCTCTCGTCCCATTGACTCATGTACTACCATTGCTGATATAACTTGTTATGGATGTTGACTTCCAATACTCTACTCTCGACTTGACACTTGTACTTGAAGTTCTCATTTCATTCACAATCGTGCACCATTATCATAACATCCATGATATACAAAATCAAAATCAAAATCACATGTGCATGCGCATGTACATGTACAGACCGGTAATGAACCCGGGTTCGATCACAGAACACAAAAAAATCAAAAATTCACAGAAATATCAACAAATTCCCCCCAAAGCGCCATAGCCATGCAGAATACTATGTGAGAAAAAAAAACAGGATACATGTGTCATAAACCAGGATCCCAAAATGGCCATACAAGCCAGATAGATCGTGAAGCTTTCTCACATTCACCTGAACGAACTTCCCCTACCTCCTCGCGCGGCATATGTCTCGCCGTCATGGCTGCTGTTGTCAGACATATGCCGCCCCCAGCCGCTCTGTTGACGAGTCGGGACAGGCGGGGGGTTGTTGTGGCCTCCTGTCTCGCTAGGGAGGGTCGTTACCATATCAGAGTCAGAAGACCCTAGGCCCGACACATCGGCTGCGATGGGCATGAGATCCAGGGTGGTGGTGGGCGTGATATCAGGGAGCGTCGGGAGGGGGTTTGGATGGCGGTGGGTAGAGAATGAGGATTGGGCGGGAGGTGGGGCGCGAGAATGGGCATGGACTGAGGAGGTTGTCCGTGTACGAGTTCTGCTGCCGCTGTCCCTCGATGAGGGCTGTCTCCAGCCGTCTTCTTCGTGGGAGAGGGGTTCTGGGGATGAGGTGTTTTGTCGGTTGTGCGGGAGGTAGTAGGGGTTGTTGGAATCGGAGTAGTCATGATGATTATCCTCGTAGGCGGGGAATGTGGCGGTGGTGTTGCTGGACACGGAGTTGCCGTGTGACCGGCCTGCGAAAATGGGCTGGGGCTCGCCAAGTTCTGACTCGGCGCTCGACCAGCGGTCTAGCTTTTCGTTCAGGGGCTCTTCTTCTGGTTGTGAATGGCGTGAGTCGCCGTGGACGAGACCGAGTGATTCTTCTTCAGTTGCGGATTTGCGCATATCGGCTGCCAGGTGCGTTCGGCGTAGGATTCCACGGGGCGAACCTGGTGTGGGTTTGGCGGAAGATTCGCTGTCCGCCTTCGTACGGCCCATCATGGTGTTGAAGGAGAACTGACGGCGGGTAGTATTGACGAGTGATTCGGGTGCTAAGGTTTCGGGCTTTTCGTCTGCCCATGATATAGACCGCGGCGTATCGCTACGCGGACGGTTTGCGTTGAACGGAGCCTCCAAACCACCAGCCATACCGGCGCCATGGTATTCGGTGTCAGCATTGACGCTTTGGTGTGGCATGTCTATCATTCCCACCGATTGTGTGTTGGCATCAGAAATCTTCTCGTCTTCAGTATTTACGGCCTTCCACTGGGAAGGATGAAGCACGCTGGTAGCCCGAGACCGAATATTATCCATGAAAGAATGGCCGCTTTGCTTGGTGCTAGGTCGGTGATCCTCCTCATGCTCATCAACGGGCAACCGGGACATGCCCCACGGTGGATGTTGTTGTTTGACCGATGGTGCTCGCGGAGTGATTGGTCGTGTCATAGTTGGTCCCTCGCCAATAACAGTCTTGCGTCGGCGCAGACCATCCCATTCAATTATCTCATTCTCGCCTGGCACTTTCAGGGTATCTTCATGCTTGTCATGGAAGAAACGGCGGGCTTCATCTGATTCCATAGTGCGGCGAGCAGTCGAAATGCGACGAATGATAGAGGCTGCACCACGAATGGAGTCTGCTTTGGGCTCGGACTCGGGCTCTTCTACCGCGGCAACTTCTCGAATTTGATCTAGATCACCCTTGAAAATAGCAGCATCGGGGACGTCCTTGGCGGATTTAGATAGTTGCAGTAATACCACACCGGCGCAAATTTGCATGAACCCAATTATCACAGTTGCAATCTGGATTCCTGTGCCCTTGAAGCCCTGGAACAAAATGGCGGAAGTGATAATGGTGGCGCTAGTGAACATCACGTAGTAAGTCGGCGTGACCAGAGCGGCATTGAAAAGATTAAGCGCTTTCTGTATAGCAGGGTTAGCACAGCCATAAGACACGAGGGTGAAGACGTACATTGAGATAAATAATCTCGGTCAACAATGTCCCAATAACAAATACAAGCAAGACATATAGGAACCAATGCTTGAACTGCTCCTCGCCATTAATCTGAGCGAGAATAGCAGAGCCCAAGCCCTGGGTAGCCACGACACTCAACCCACCAACCATGCTGCAAATACTGATATAAACGAACATGCTCGACTTTCCATAACGTGGACCAACCCAAAGAGCCGTAAAGGCAGCCCCAACGATGATCAACCCGGCATAGACCAGAAACCCAGGCTGGATGACAAAATGCTGCATGCCCTGGATGTCATCAACAGACGACTGCTCAGGCGCATTCATAGCAATAGTCACCGATCCAATAATACAACAGAAACAGCCAACCTTCCCCACGAAACTAAGCCGTTCCTTGAGGAAAATTGCCGACAAAACAGTGGTAATCACAACCGATAGCGCACCGAGCGGCGTGACCAAAATCGCATCGACGAATGCATACGCCACGAAATTGCAGATCTCTCCAACAATCATCAGCGTCATACCAGTCCACCACCAGAAATTTTTCAGATATCCATATCCCTCGCCGGCCTCCTCATTGTACTTCACATTCGCCTTCAGCAGTCCGATTTTCTTCACTACGAACGAGATACCGATGAAAACGCCCGATGCGACAGCCAGTGAGATACCAACGGCCTTGTACACCGGCGGGCGGCCTGAGGATTCCGCGCGGGCGAGGAGGTTGTTCGCATGTGATAAGGCGGAATTGGGATCCATGATTGTGGAGGTTGGAAATTAGGACCACACTGACCAGCAGTGGGAAAAGGCGGGGAGTTTTGTGTCGCGGGGACAGAGAGAGTCGTCCGAAGACGAGACTCGGCGATTATTTGAAACACCTAGGGACCCTGCCACGATATCGATAAAGACTGGGCGTATCGCCGGGGCGACTATCAACGAGGGGCCTGCGTCCACAACGGTTTCGAGTCGGACTATCGCAAGGAATTTTGTGGAAATAATTGTGATTTGGAATATCGGTGATCTGAGAATGCTTCTAGAGATTGTCCACGAGGAAAGGAAAAATGTGGGATTCCGCAAGGGGGGCACGTCAGCCGTTGGCGCTATGACTTTCGGTGGTACTCAGGTGGTAAATAATGGATTTTAAGGGTATCAAGGATGTTGAATGTTACTTAAGACAAAGAATCAGGAGTGAAGAATTGGAAAATAAAACAATAAAGAAATCAAATCAAATAAAAGGGGAAGGGGAAAGGGAAAGGGAACAGGATCGAGATGCAAAACAAAGAGGCTGGGGGAAAAGGAGGTACAGGTACTCCTGAACAGGGCGGGCTGGACTATGATCGACAGGTACCTGTACCTTCTAGCCTTTTTAACTATCGGCCTATCAGCCTATAATTACTTTACTTATACTTTAGTTTATGGAGTGCATTAGCCCTTGAATACGGAGTATACGGATTAATTTAAGATCAATAGGGAATCTATTTGCCCCTATAGGGTATGAAGTACGTACTACTCCGTACATTATACATGGATGCCTAATTTAGAACGTGCCATTGTGTTTTTGTCTCACATAATTACTATACAAAACCATCAGTTCCCACATTTGGTGTCTCATAAATGTCATCATTCATTATGTTGTGTGCCCAATGAGGCACTGGCCATCGTTCGTAGCGGGTCAACTAAGATAAAAACCATAAATAGAATTGCATGCACCCAGGACGCCCTCTCAGCCCTAATCAACTGTCTGAACAGAGGGGTATTCAGCAGGAAAGACACAGAAACAACGTGATGCACATGTTAAAAAAAAGAGAGAAAAAAAAAGGTCTCGAGATGAAAGCACGTGAGAAGGGATCACCGCACGTGGTAGCTGGGCTTCCGTTGTCGGTTCACCGTTGGGGGTGGCTCATCAACCGGGTAAGGAGGTCGGACGTTGGTGTTCGAAGTTGACGAAGGTGCTTGAGAGAATAGCGGTGCGGGCATAGCCACGCCACCATCGTCTTCTTGAGATGGGTATGGGATGGGGGTCTTGGGCGGCACTGGTGGTGCTGGTGCCATGCCATTGAAGGTTGTGACATACTCATCACTGCGGGAGGGCGGGCTCTGTTGTTGTGAGCTTGAGCTTGGTCGGCTTGCAAGCTCGTGGCTTCGACGATAATCACTTCCAGATTGCCGGGGTGGAGAAGTAGATATGCTATCTTGAGGTGTGTGGTGAACAGGGAGCGTGTCATCCGGTGGTGATGTAGTCACCACGGTTGGAATAGGCGGCGCCGCTTGTGAAGGTGGAGGGTGATGGATAAACTCAGCGGGTAATTCTGCCGGTAATTCGACAGCGAAGTGCGCAGGGGGTGGAACGTATGATTGAACGGGAGAAGAAATCGAAAGCTCTTCGGTCTCAAGATCAAAAGATAGATCGTCACGATCCCCGCCCGCGGCGGCGTGGCTCGCCAGACGGCGGTTCATGCGCTCGATCTTAGCAAATCTTACACCTGCTTCTAGAATCATCTTCTTGACTTCGGGCCTGGCCAGATACTGCCGTGTGTTGGTGCTGATATCGGCTAGCCGGTTCCATTCGTTCATACCAAACTCGCCCACACCGACCTCGACGTTGAGGCGGAAATAATTGTCTT